GGCAGCACGGTAGGATTCAGCAAGTGGGGGTGGGGCAGACTCAACGAGGCCATGTGCTGGTGGCTCTCTAACAGAGCAGTACAGCACAGCCTAGCAAGAAGGGGTTGGGGATGGAGCACAGGGCTAGGTGGGTGGAGAAAGGAAAGGGAGAGGGAAGGAACAAAAACAAATAAAATGGCACCGAGTGAACCAACGGTGACAGCGGCACAGACCTGGGGAGGGCATGTGCAGTGACTCTCCAGCCAAGTGGTGCAGCATGGCCCCTCGAAAAGGGGCGGGGTGGGTGCACAGGGCTGAGTGGGCGGGAGAAAGGAAAGCAGAGAGAAGAAACAGAAAAAAACAGAACAAGGCAAACAAACCAAAAAATCACAGCCCGTCGAGAAGGGGAGGGGATGGCACATGGTACTAGCTGGGTGGGAGAAGGGAAAGGAATGAAGGGAGAGAGAGAGAAGCAACAAACAAGGCCAAATAAATAAAACATAAACAAACAAAAAAAATGATGTTAAAGGGGTTGGCCGGTGGCGGGGGGTGGTGAACCTGGGCGGCAATGAGCTGTTGTCTCTCTGGCTGAGTGACCATGGCCCACTGGAAAGCAGTGGGTGCCTTGTAGAGAGAAGGTGGGGGTGGGAAAGTGTGTATCCCTCGTTACCAGGTGCTCTGTCTCCTGTTGGGAGCTCGTTGAAGTTGCCTTCCCATACTCCCTATCTGTGGTCCTTGGTGGCTGAGGTCCAAGATGGCAAATTTGTGCCATGTTAGCTGGTAGGGGACCTCCACTCCATAGCTCTCCTCATTCTCTGTTCTCTGTCAGTTTCTTATTCCATTTGGTGCTTGATCGAGTTCTTTGCTCCTGCATTTGATGCTTAAGATTCCAGGGTTGACGTTTGTTATCTGTTTTACTTAGTTATTTGAGTCTTTGCTGCAGAGGGACAGCATGGTGCTTCTGTCTATAGCATCACATTGGCTCCACCTCCTGATCTTCTTTATTAAAATTCTGCTTTCAATTTTATGAATTTCTGCTCTTTTCTCCATTATCTTGCCATCTTTCTTTGGGTTTAATTTGCTCTTCTTCTGGTTCCTTTTGATGGCAGCTTAGATGATTGCTTTCAAAACTTCCATGCTTTCTAATATAACCATTTAATTCTATCAATATCCTTTGGTAGTCCATCCCATGAATTTTGATATGCTGTGTTCTCATTTTCATCTAATTCAAATTATTTTCTAATTTTTCTTTTTATTTCCTCTTTGACCTATGGGTTCTTTACAAGTGGGTTGTTCAACTTTAAAATGTGGAGGGATTTTCCAGACACCTAGTTTAATTCCATTGTGCTCAGAAAACATACTCTGCATAATTTTACTTCTTTTAAACTTGGTATGGTTGGTTTTATGGCCCAGAATATAATCTATATTGATGAACGTTCCAAATGCACTCAAAAGGAATGTGTATTTGGCCATTGTTGAATTAAATATTCTACAAATGCCAAATAAGTCAATCTGAGTGGGAGTGTTCCTCAGGTCTTTTACAGCTTTACTAATTTTCTGTCACGTTGTTTTAGAGAAGAGTATTATATTCTCCATCTCTAATGTGGACTTTTATTAGTTTCTGCTTCATGAATCTTGAAGCTCTATTGTCATTTAAGTGTTGTGTTTAGAGTACTAAAATTTAATGTAATTACTGAAATAATTTTATTTGAACCTACCATCATGCTAATTGTTTCCTATTTGTGCCATGTGTTAAGTGTTAATTTCTCTGTCTGCTTTGCATTGTTTTTAGGATTCCATTTTATTTCCACTACTGACTTATTAGTTATACCACTTTTTAAAAAATTTAAGTGATTGCTCTAAGGTTTACCATATACATCTTTTAACTTTTCACAGTCTACCTACAAATAATATTATGCCAATTTATGTAGTGTATTAGAGTATACTTCTAATTTCTCTCTGTCCTGTTTTGTAGTATTGTTGCAATCCACTTTACCTTCATATATGCTACAAACTCACAAAACCTTGCTCCTATTTTTGCTTTATCTTTCAGATTGTTTAGAAATATGAAAAAATATTTTATATTTACCTTCCTTTTAATCATTTTCAAACTTTTTTCTTTTGGTAGATCCTAAGTCTATTTCTGTATGATATTCTTTCTGCCAGTAGAAATTCCTTTAATATTTCTTGTAGTCCACGTCTGCTAGTAATGAATTCTATCAGCTTCTGCTCATCTGAAAAATGTCTTTACTTTGTATACTTTTTTGAAAGATTTTTCTCATTGGGCTTAGAATTTTTGATTGACAAGTTTTTTTGTTTGAGAACTTTAAAGTTGTCTCCTAGCTTGCAGTTTCTGATCAAAAGCCTACTGTATCTCTCATCTTTGTTCCTTGTATGTAATGTGTCCTTTTTCTCAGTCTGCCATCAATATTTTCCCTATATTGTTCATTTTCAGCCTTTTGGCAATAATGCATCTAGTTTGTTTTTAAAACCCTGCTTGGGGCACTCTGAGGTTCCTGGATATGGTTGAGATCTTTTAATATTTTTGGAAAACTGTACTCTTCGAGTACTATTTCTTCCCTCTGCACGACACCTGGGTTTCTAATTATACATGTATTAGACCACAGGATGTCTCATATTTCTTGTATGCTCCATTCTCCTTTCTTCATTCTTTTTCGTGTTTTAGTTCAGGTCATTTCTATTGACTTATATTCAAGTTCTTTGACACTTTCCTCAGCTGTGTTGAGTCTATTCATGAGCCTTTCAAAAGCATTCTTTATGATAAACGTTCTAGTATTCCTCATTTGACTCTTAATTTCCATTGCACATCTGTTCATGCATGTTTTTTGCCCTGTTCACTATAGCCTTTAATGTCAATTATGTAAAATTGCCTGATAATTCCAAAATCTGGATCATATCTGTCTGGTTTTATTGATTCCTCTGTCTCTTGGCAGTGTTGTTTTTTCTTTTTAATCTTGTACTTTTTTATTGAATGCCAGATAACTAGAAGAGACTAAATAGTATTTTTGCCTGGAAATGGGCATCTGTTCTGCTAGGATGTTAGGGTGTAGTGTTGAATCAATCTGTTTAGGAATTGAGCTGGATTTGGGCTTTGGTGTTGCAATGGTTATCTTTAGTGTACCACTGGCTTCAGATCTCTCCAGCATTATCTTGTACGTAGGGTAGGGGCTGGAGCGCTGGAGGATTTTTCTCACTGTTCTGGCTCTACCCTCAGCTTTTGGCCATCCCTGTGTACCTGTGCCACACGATTCTCTGTCCACATTCTTGCTCGTTTCCCAGTGTATCCTGCTATTGCTTGTCAATAGGTACAAGCTAGTTTGTTGATTGGGGTCAGAGGTGTTCTCTGTCGTCTTGGTTTAAGCTCAGTCTTGAGTGGGGACTGGGAAAATCAGAGACCAAACGCACTGTGAGGAGCTAGAACTATGTAACACTAAAACGAGACAGCAGCTCTTTCCCTTGGCTGTGAACAAAAAAGTAGGTGATGCTGCCATCTTGTGACCAATTTGAAGACGAGTTCACACAAGACAGAGGAGAATTAAAGGAAATAGAGCCCTGAATGACCCAGACCCAACTCTTGCCCTATCTGCAGTTTTTTCATTTATGTAAACTAAGAAATCATTTTTTTTTTGTTTTAGCAACTTTGAGTTAGGTTTCCTGTAACTTACAACTAAAAGCATCCTAACTGACAAAACCACCCTGAGTTCTCATTACCTTGCCCTGGAAGTGATAACAGCAAAGATATGCATGAAATGCCCTGGATTTCAGATGATAGTGTGTATCTTCAAGTACAACCTTGGAAGCTAGGTTAAAACAGTGCCTTGGTCATCCCATCATCCAGTCAGAGGAATCACCTTGTGAGTTCCTAAGCTGAAATTTAGGATTAGGATCTCAGTAGTTGTTTATAGTCTATTTTACAGACATTGCTCTAATACAATTGATAAATGTTCATTGTAAATATTTTTTTAACGAAGTACAAAAAAAATTTTTTTGCTTGCAAGAGAAAACCACTGGATACAAATGATAAGTAATCTTTTACAATTATTGTGAATTATTTCCAATGCTCTGCTGAAATTCCTCATCTGTTCATGCAAATGGGCTTTAATGGAACTATGGAGAAAAACCAAGTATTATAACTTTGACATTTATTAAGAAAGTATTTGTCATTTGTAACCATTTCTGACACTTTCCAAATATTACAGTAAAACTCGGCTTTAACACAGAACAAAAGTAAAAATTCAGTCATGTAAAATGTCGTGTTCTGCTTTTGAAAAGTTAACCAGAAATACTGTTTATCAGTTTTTACTGCCATTTAAAGCACACACACGTACACACGTACACACACACACACACACACACACACACAGAGCTAAATTTAAATTGATGGTACACTGTTGACCAAATGTTAATTTAGCCCATCCCTGAAGATGGGACAAAAGACAAGAACCAATCTCAATAGAGTCACAAGCAAATTCATGTTATTTCAGGTTGCAATATTGCTTGATAGTCTACATTTCAAACATATATTTATCTAAGGTTACTGACAGTATTCCTCCTCCAAATACATTTTTAAATTTTTTTGGGGGGGGGGAGAAATGAACTTAGAAAAATTTCGAACATTGTTTTATAAACTTTTACTCATTTAACAAAAAGTACTGAGAATCTACAATGAGTTATGCAATGCCATGGTTTTGTAGACTTAGCAATGAACAAAATTCCTTCCCTCATGGAGTTACATTCTAGTGGACATGGATTTAGGCATGTTCATCACTGTACTTTTGTTAAAAATCCTAGCTCCTGTGCAATAATTGATATTAAGGTTCTGACCAAATCCCTGTGGAACACCTATAATTTAGGCATGTTGGCTGCATAGTCTCCTAACCATTGTGATTAATGAGGTTGGGCAGAAATGTTAATTTTTCATTAAAATGAAAATTAATGAAATAGAAAAATTAAAGTAGAAATTTTTTTTTTTTTTTTTTTTTTTTTTACTATAAACAGGAAATTTCGGATCCCATTTGAAGGCTTAAAACAAAACAAAACATCATTTTACAGAACTTCATTCCTGTATTGTGGATTGTCGGATGAAGGATAATCCTTACTGCACTCTTCACTTTTATAGAATTTATCACTACTATGAATTCTCTGATGAATTAGAAGACCTGAGCTCCAACGGAAACCCTTACCACATGCTTCACATTCAAATGGTTTCTCTCCTGTGTGGACTCTCTGATGAGCTTGAAGGTTGGATCTCTGACTGAAGCCCTTTCCACATAACTCACATTTGTATGGTTTCTCCCCAGTGTGGACTCTGTGATGGGCTTGAAGACTTGAATACCCACTGAAACCCTTACCACATTGTTCACATTTATAAGGCCTTCCTTCTGTGTGGATCCTCTGATGTGCCTGAAGGCGTGAACTCTCACTGAAGCCCTTCGCACATACCTCACACTTGTATGGTTTCCCTCCTGTGTGGACCCTCCGATGTGCTTCAAGGCGTGAACTCTGACTAAAGCCCTTCCCACACATCTCACATTTATATGGCTTCACTCTTGTGTGGACTCTCTGATGGCCTTGAAGATATGCTCTCTGACTGAAGCCCTTCCCACACACAGCACATATATATGGTCTCTCTCCAGTATGAACACTCTGATGACTTTGAAGGTATGATCTCTGACTGAAGCTCTTACCACACTCATCACACTGGTATGGCTTCTCTCCTGTGTGGACTCTCTCATGGGCCAGAAGAGTTGAGGCCTTACTGAAGCCCTTACCACATTCTCCACATTTATAAGGTTTCTCTCCTGTGTGAACCCTCTGATGAATTTGAAGGTTAAAGTTCCAACTGAATCCCTTCCCACATTCCTCACATTTGTACGGTTTTTCTCCAGTGTGGACTCTCTGATGGCCTTGAAGGTGTGAACTCCGACTGAAGCCTTTACCACACTCTTCGCACTTGTATGGTTTTTCTCCAGTGTGGATTCTCTGATGGCCTTGAAGGTACGAATTCCGACTGAATCCTTTCCCACACTCCTCACATTTGTATGGCTTTTCTCCAGTGTGGACTCTCTGATGAGCTTGAAGGTATGAACTCCGACTGAATTCCTTACTGCACTCCTCACATTTATAAGGTTTCTCTCCTGTGTGGACTCTCTGATGAACTTTAAGAACTGATTTATGACTGAAACCTTTACCACACGCATCGCATTTGTATGGCTTCTCTCCAGTGTCAACTCTCTGATGATCTTTAAGTTTTGAACTCCAGTTCAAGCCATTTTCATACTTCTTATAAGGTTTCTCTCCAACATGGATTTTCGGAGGGCCCTGAAGATATGAAATTTGACTGAAAGTGTTACCACATGCATAATGTTTGTATGGCTGTTCCCTAGTGTGGACTATCTGAAGGTCCTGAAAATGTGAGGCCACACTGAAGTCATTATCAACCTCCTCAGAATTACAGAGATTCTCTTCTATGTGAACTCTGTGCTGAATGTTAAGATTTGAACTACAAATGAAGCTCTTCCCACACTCCACACCTGTGTATAGCTTCCCTTCAGTGTGGATTTTCTGAAGACATGAGCTCTGATCAAAGACATATCCATTCTCTTCATATTCATGGGGTTCCTCCCCAGTATGGACCCTAAAAATACTACTAAGGTCTAAGCTATGGCTCAAAGCTTTATCACAAATGTTGCATCTACTGGACATCTCTCCTGCGTGAGTAAGCTCATAAGTGTTAAGAGAGGAATACTGATTGAAGTTCTTACCATTTTCACATTTACACAGTTTCTCCTCTGTTTGCACTCTCTGATGAGACTGTAGATGTGACCTCTCAATAACACAATCATCTCCTCTATGAACACTTTGATGAATATGAAGAACTGAGCTATAACTGAAGCCCTTTCCACACTGACTGTATGTATGGGGCTTCCCTTCTAAGTGTAACCACTGATGAACTTTAGAGCTGGTGACATCACTGAAGGCTTTTCTATACTCATTACCCCAGTAGGGCTTATATCTTGTTGGAATTAAGTCCTGATTAAGTAATGATACCTTCATGATGTCTTTTCCACAATCATGGCAGCTGTAATTTTTTTCTGTCTCGTGTATTCCCAGATTGTCATTGTGATATGGGACCCAACTGATGCCGTCACAGTTACAGAAATTATTTTTCATGAGAATTTGCTGACATCGACACTGATAATTGGGTGACTCAGTCAGATACATTTTCCTCCAAGAATGCAGGGCTCTCCAAGATGGAAAGTCTTGATTTTTTATATAATTGGAACCATTCTCTTTATGAGTCAATATATAGTTCTCGTCTTCAGAAATCTGAATTGGTATTCCTGCCCAAACCTGGCAAGGGGAATCACGTTGTTTTTGTAACTGAAAACTACCCTCTTGAGTATTTCTCACGGAATGCTGACACCTGGTTAATCTGCTTGCATCCTGTTGCCAGGTCTGCCAGGGGGAAAGCTCTTTGGCGGAAAGGTAGTTTAATCCCACTTCTTGAATACTCTCCATCTTCTGTTGACTCTTGCTTTCTGTAGGAATAAAGAGAATTCAGAAATATAGACAAGTGAGTGCTTTATTCAGTGATTTCAAGATTTTACACTCAGGTCATAATATAAAACTTAAATAAAGCAGAGGGAGATTCATGTCACAATCTCTAAGCATACTTAGAAAAATCCTCTTCTTTGGCTACACCAGGTATATAAGTAGGATCTACATAATTCAGGCTATCTGTATGCTTCAAAATGAGGGCTCTGCTATACAACCTGGACATCAGGACATAGTGGTCCTGTTCGAAAGGACTAATAAAGGTGTACACAGATTATCATGAGTTTATCATGGATCGCCTGGAGATCACAAGAAGAAAATCCTCTCGAACTGGAAAGAATATAATTGTAAATGGATAAATGCTTTTTGTCCTGATAATAAGTTTTTCTTTTTTCTCTGCTACGTGGGCATGGTAATTTTTTGTTTGTTTGGAGGAGACTGCGCGTCAAATGCTGTGCTGAAGAAAGTAAACAAAGATCTTTAATATATGTTTGAGGCATCACGTGGCGTCTCTCTAACGAGTAATTTATCTTCATGAGGATAACAAACTCACCTAAGTCACTGTAAGTCATTCTCAGATTTTATCTCCTTTCGAAAGCGGTTTCTCAATTACCAAGGGCCACAGCATAGGTCAGAATGTGAAACTCTGTGACAGTTTCCAACTCAAAAGACACTAAAAAAATTTTTTTAAAGGCTGAGGGGGTAAGCACAGCCTTGATTCAAGGCACCTGTAGGTGGCCTTTGAGTCAACTCATCAGCCATGAGCAAAACTCAATGGACACTGACTTTAGCTTGGGTCATTTTACTAGACAATTACTTTAATGCTTAGGGAATTTGAGGCACCAGAATAGTTGAAGATAAGCATGCTTGGGTGGAAATAGCTTACTGCCTGGTTATTAAAGCTCAGATTAAAAGCAGACAGATGTTCGTATACTGGTGAGAAGTATCCTCCACGAAGACAAATGTTTATACAGAGGTGAAGTAATGACATACATAGTTCTAACACCTGGTAGTACATCAGCTCTTATAGTATCCAGAAAACAAAGCATTAAAAGGGGTTTTTTTTTTCATAACATGAATATTAACCTCTAACATAATAAGTCTTCCTTATGTGTTTGTGTTGGTATGTCTCTCCACACTGGACTGGAATCCATAAGGACAAGCACTTTGTTTTATGCTCTGCATTATCCTCACTGCCTGTAATACTGCCTAGTAAGTAGCAATTGTTAAATAAACATATAATGAATAAATCACAGTTTGAATCATTTGTGAGAGGTTAAGCTTACTCACAGAAGAATAACGGCATTTACAAGTAAGCTGTTTTAATGGGAAAGGAACTGGCAATGGCGATTTTGCTCGAACGTTGAAAGGCTGAGCAAGAAGTAGGGCCACACTAAAAGTGATGTTGTTGATGAGAAAAACAATGGTGACAAGAATCTCTTGTAGATGAAATGAAAGGTGTAGGATCTAAGGTCACACATAGGCCTATAGATTGAGTCTAATTTTAAAAATAAAAATGGTTTATTTTTTCTTTAATCTTACCTATAGCCTCATGCTATCCCCAACTTAATCAAAAAGAAAAAAAGAGGCCACACTGATGACTACCTACCCTGATGACTACCTCACTAGGCTTTGGGATGGTCCACTGATTGTGGGATGACACTGAAGGCATGTCCATCAGTACTCATCTGGGTACTCTAAAAAACATTTAGTATAATAAAGCACATGGGGGCACAGTTACAGATACTTCTTAGACATAGCCAAACACCTTATGGGATTGGATTTCTGGGTTTGAAGGATTAGGACCACAGTCTCGTGGAGCATCTCGGTCATTTGGCATATATAGCTCATAAAGTTATGTTCTACATCCTAGTTTGGTGAGTAGTGTTTGCGGTCTTAAAAGCTTGCAAGCAGACATCTAAATACAACTACTGGTCTCTCCTCATCCAGAGCAAAAGAGAAAGAAGGAAACCAAAGACTCAAAGAAGAAACTAGTCTACAGAACAAATAGTCTACATGAACCATGGCCTCATCTGCCCTGAGACCAGAAGAACTAGATGGTGCCCGGCTATCACTACTGACTGTTCTAATCAGGGGCACAATAGACGGATTCTGACAGATTGGGAGAAAAATGTGAAACAGAACCTCAAATCTCACCCCCCTTGCAAAAAAAAAATAACTAGACCTACTGGACTGGTAGAGACTGGAGGACTTCCTGAGACTATTGCCCTGACATACTACTCTTCAGACCCTGAACTGAAACTAACCACTGAGGTCACCTTGTAGCTAAATAACAGATTGGCTCAAAAAATAATGAGTATCACCCATAAATACTGTGCTCCTTCTGAAAACTACCTATATGAGACCAAATGGTCAACAATTATTTTAAAACAAAGATGAGCATATAAGGGGGCAGGGAAACTAGATTAATGAAAATGGAACAACCAGAACAGAAATAATGAGAATGCTCATGCATTGTGAAGAAAGTAACCAATGTCACTGAACACCTGCTGCAGAAATTGTTGAATGGGAACCCAAACCGCTGTGGGAACCTTCACTGAAAACACAGTAAAATATACATTTTTTTAAAAAAAGATGTTTAGTGATGTCTCTGGCTTCTCACAAGCAAAGCTTTCAGTTATTACATTAATATTTTATCACCTAGGATGAAATGAAGGGACATACTATAGAAGGCACATTAGATAAAGCAAATAGTTCGTACATAAGAAGGCTGGGCTTCTGGCTAGAGTTAATCATAACGCTTACAGTTTTGTTTTGGTATCATCAGGCACGCTCAATATACACCCATAAAGATTATTCTAATGTTACAAGGATAAGTCTTTCGGGACTGACTTACTGGTTTGAGCACATGAAAGCAGCGTCGTAGTCAATGTCCAATTTCTTACAAAGCAACTGTTTTAATATAAATTAGTACATAATTTATGACCCAGTAATCTCAAATACATAGGAAAGATTGAAGTTTCCCCCTGACTAGTGGTTTTCACAATGTGAAAAGAAGGCCAGAGGAAGTTTCAAGTTCTTATGGAAAAAAAAAATCACACATTTAACATTAATTTCTGTTAGTAAATGGTACAAAAAGAAGCATCTTATTCTACATCTGTCATTTTCTTTCCATAGCTCAACATTTAAGTTGTACTTTACTATCAAAGGTAGCTGTGCTGATGAGAAATTGTGCTAAATCAAGTTTATAAATATACTTTACTTGATGGAGAAAACAGGTACTGCAAAAGACCACTAAAGACCTCATCTGAGGTAAGAAGGTTGAGGATTTATTATATCTCCTCAGTAATCCTGCTTTAGTACTTAGTCTTTCTAAGAGTCAGGACAGCAGAAAGGAATATACTGGGAAGGAGAACTGAGATATGTTTAGAGCTCCTTGAGGAAGAAAAAATGTGGGCTTGTGGTGACATGACCTTATGTGGCCTTTTGCCTTGGTGCTTTGGAAAAACAGCTTGAAAGATTTTCTCCTCTAAGCCATGAGGAGTTACCTTTGCCCTAATTTTCTACCTCAGAGGGTTTGTTACTTTTGTCCAGGTTGATTGACATATCCTGGGTAAAACTGTAAACCTGGTTTTGGTACATTTTGTCTGGCCCTGGGCTGCAGCCTGCCCTTTGATTGGTATGCATCTTGCAGGGATTGGTCAATATACTTATGCAAATGAAGTGACTATAACCTGCTTTGCAAATGAAGTGTCTGTGGCCTACCAAGAGGGGACTGGTCAGTTCAGAGTCATGCCTTGAAACTGATGAGGAGTTGGCTTACATATGCAGCCAACCCCACAGAGGTGGGCAGAAAGAAGAAGGAAGACAAGAGGAGAGAAGAAGCAGAGAGAGAAGAGGTAAGGAACCTCCTAAAAGAGCTGTCACATGGGTTGACAATGTAACACTGAAGACAATAAGAGGCCTAGAAGTGGTTCTGCAGCAGAGCCGGCAGCAAAAGGCCTAGAAGGGGCCCTGTGGCAGAGTCGGTGGTAAGAGCAGAAACCTGCTGTTAGGAATGCAGTTAACAGAGCTGAACAAAACTGCTACACTGTTATGAGCTGGGTCAGTTGGCAGTGGAGAGGCCAACAGCAGGGAAGCTGAAGGCAGAGAGGCCCGCATGGCTGAAAGGGGGCATGCACAGCCAAAAGGAGGCCTGTCCTGAGAGGGATGAGAGGAGCCTATCCTGAGGGGGCTGAGAGAAGGCCTGCACAGCAGAAAGAAGGGCTTGCTTGTTTGCACATAGAAGAGGAGCTGAGAGAACTGTCCTGCACTGAAAGAGGGAGGGATGTACTCTCCACTTTGGGACTTTGCCTACATGCTACCTGATCCTGAGTTGTAGCTTGCTGATCCTGATCCCGAGTTGTACTTGCTGCTTCCTTAACAAACCACTTACCTCTAAGTATGGTCTGTGAGTTCTGTGTGGCCATTGCAATGAATTATTGAACCCAGTAGAGAAGTAGAGAGTACCGTGGAAGGGACGGCTGGTGTCAGAATTGGTAAAAAGGTTGGAGAGTGGAGGTATAGCTGACCACCTCATAGGGATCAGCCTTGGGCTGATCTTGATTTGCATTCCCCACCCCCCGAAGTTAGACAGGTTCTGACGCTACTACTAGACCATTTTCACAGGGCCACAAAGATTTGCTAATCAGAACCTGAACGTGCATCCCTGGTGAGAGGGAGCAGTAGCTCTCTGTGGGACACTTCCAAAGATTGTACTGCATGCTCACTGAGGCAGAGAGCTGCTGCTTTCTATTCCTTTCCCGTGGAGAAAATTGAAATTGTCCAATACTTTACTGAAAACTTTGAGTGGATTCAGATACCTAGCTGGAACCAACAAATTACCAAAAGGAAATAGAAGAAAAAGCAACATAACTTGGCAGGGGGCACCTTATTACTTGAAATATGGAGATTACTGAAAGGATCTCCTGATTAATGAACTTGATAATCTCGATATAATGAGAAGATGACAGTAGAAAAGAAAAACAAACAATTTGCTATGGGAAAAAAGAAAAGCCGAGAAGCCCTTTGTTTGTGGAGCAATGATGTTTTCTCTAGCATCAAGGTGCCTGCCTGGTCCAACGGACCAGAAACTTCTCTTTCCATCCCTGTTGGGAATTTTAGATTGCATCAGTAACAACTAACAGTCTCAGAGGGATGCAGTGTTAAGGCAAAGTGCAGGTAAAGGATTATCTTTGAGAGCCTCGTCTCATCAACAGCTAAGGAAGGCTCTAACATTGCTGAGTGTGTGCTTCTGACAGAGTCAAGCAACCAGTCAATTCCATGAAAACATATCTTTGTTTGCTTACGTGGGCTGACTAGTTGATTTAACGTAGACATGGATTCCAAATCATCTGTTTTACTATAAGTGAAGTGATTTTTCCTATCATTTTCTAAACAGAAGACAAATTCAATGACTGGCAGAGAAGGCTGTACTTTTGAAAACAGATTACAGGATATTGTTAGGTATAGAAAATTTGGAACTTATAACCTATAATGGAGCCTTGGTAGCACAGTGATTAAGTGATACGGCTGCTAACCAAAAGGTTGGCAGTTCAAATCCACCAGCCACTCCTTGGAAACTCTATGAGGCAGTTCTACTCTGTCCTCTAAGGGTCGCTATGGGTTGGAATCTAACTGCAGCAACGGGTTTATAACCTATAACAGCAAGACAACACTAATTGGGGGGAACCATTAGTCAGGCTTGAAATCAATTTAGTAGATTGTGACATGCAGTTGTGGGGGCTGGCAAGTCCCAAATCTGTGGGTCAAGCAACAGGCTACAGACCTCTGCTGGCTCATGAGGTTACAGGGGACAACAAATCCCAAATCCGCAGGTTCAGATGCAGGGCAGAGACTTCTGCAGGCTTACTGTATTTTTACTCAAATAATGTGCACCTTCTATGTTTGTTTGCCAACCACTGCCCCCACCCCGACCCCACCACGAGGTACTTCCATAAACATGCTATGCTAATTATTTTAGAGCAGTATGTAAAAAAAATTGGCATGTGGGAGAAGGGAGTGGTTGGCAAACAAATGTAGAAGGCACACGTTATTTGCATAAAAAAATACAGTATGTCCCAGGAACCAGAGGTCAGACAACAAGAAGAGCATGGGTGGAGAGAGAGAGAGAGTCAGCTTTGCCAGAACATCCATTTACCCATATACTGGAGGCAGGCCACCCTCCCACAAGGAACTGCCCTTTCAACTGATTGGCTGCTCACATCAGATCACGACATGGAAGATGTTTATATTATATCACATTTTGGAGGAGCACCCAGTCCAGTGTTTGAAAAAACAATGAGAATCATAGCCTAGCCACGTTGACACACAACATTAACCATCACACTGATATATTATTGAATAAATAAATGAATGGCAGATAATATATAAATCTCCCATGTGGAACTCCAAGTAATTTATGAAGCTACACCACCCTCAGTAAGGTGAAGCATAACTCCTCACACTTCAAGTGACTTCCTCCCCAAAAGTAGAAAGGAAAGGAGCGAAAAAGGGCAACATTGCAGCGGAGAAACCTGACAAACACGACCTCAAGCAGGTGATCGAGGTGAGAGCATCGACAGTGACAAGTCACGTTGGTATCATGTACCCTTGATACATGAAGTGATGAGAATGGCCCTTGACCTCTGATCTTCCCCCAAGACACCCTAAACCCTGTCTAATTGTGAGACAAATCCCAATCCGGGAATATCCTACAAAATGCCTGACCACTGCTCCTCGAAACTCTCAAGGTCATCAAAAACAAGGGAAGTCTGAAAAATTATCATAGCCAAGAGAAGCCTAAGGAGACATGACAACTAAATGTTATGTAGAATCTTGGATAGGATCCTGGGACAAAATTTTTAACAAAGGACATTAGGTAAAAACTAAGAAAATCTCAATGAAGAATGGACTTCAGTATCAATATTGGTTCACTAGTTTTGACATACGCACCATAGCAACGCAAGCTATTAATCATATGGAAACTGTGTGGAGGATATATGGGAACTCTCTGCACTATGTTTGAAATTTATGTATAAATGTAAAAGTCTTCTAAATAAAAAGTTTACTGGAAACAAAAACAAAAAAGGACAGAAAATATCAGTGCATTGCATATAAATAAGGACATCAGATGTGCACAGATATGTATACATACATAGGTCTGCACTGGGCTACATACACTACATACTGACAGTCATGGCCAAACCCACCATCAGCTGGAACCCACCAGCCACTCTGTAGGAGAAAGATGTGGCAGTCTGCTTCTGTAAAGATTTTCAGCCTTGGAAACCCTGTGGGGCAGTTCTACTCTGTCCTGTACGGTTGCTGTAAGTGGGAATCGACTCAACGGCAACAAGTTAAGCAGTTCAGAAAGATGTAAAATCTTTAACAAAACAATTATAAGGTTCAAACGGAAAGTTCAAATGGGAAATTTGGAAAAATGTCAATAGGTAGGTGTGTATCTCTTAGTTTCATGCCTACACGGATTGTAGGCTGAAAATGGAAGTGTGCCAACCCCTGCTCTAAAGAGTGTACTGCACCATGGATGAACCTGAAACTTAACTGAGAAGGAAACAGAAATTACAGAAGTGAATTAATTTACTTTGACATTTTCTGTTTCCTCTTTTTTCCCACCCAGGGCCATCCTTATCTACACAGTGTGACAGTGGCCTTTGATGTCAGTCTTGGGGACTCAAGAAATATTACCAAAATATTTGGACTCATAGAAATGTCCAACTTGAAAATTCTACTTCACAACTATACCTAGGTCAAGAAATTGATTAGGTACTAAAGGATGAGAGGGAGAGAGGAGAGAATGGGAAGATAAAGAGCTGGGATTATGAATGAGGAAATCATCACCAACGCAAGAGTGTCTCACTTGAGGCTGATGCATAAGAAGCATCAATTATAATGCTGGCACTGGTCATTTTCAATACTTAATTTAGATGACTGGCTGTTCTTATCTATTAGGAGCCCTGGTGGCACAGTGGTTAAGAGCTAGGCTGCTAACCAAAAGGTCAGCAGTTCGAATCCACCAGCCGCTCCTTGGAAACCATATGGGGCTGTTCTACTCTGTACTACAGGATCGGTATGAGTCAGAACTGACTCGACAGCAACAGGTTTGGTTTTTTTTTCAGTTTTTATCTATGAATACCCAAGGATTAGGACAGGCATTCATCACATGATGAACAACATTCCTGAGTATCCTTCTAGTTCATTGGTTTATTCTATACGTATTAACTATCTCGTGAAGGTCTGGAGACAGGGAAGTCCATGCACCTATTAACCAATTCATTTATTTGAGGCAAATGGAAGGGCAAGTCAAGGAGCCTGAAGTGGAAGAATAAGTGACAGATCTGATGGGCAGCAATGGGGCAGTGCAGCTGGAAAAGACCGACTGAGCAAAAACAAGCAACAGTGGAGTTGCGGGGACAGACACCTTAGGGTCTAAAAGGCCACTTTAAGTACTTTCAAATTTACTATGTATGAAATGGAAATCTACCAGAGAGTTTTAAACAGAGAAGTGACATGTCTGACGGTGTGTTAGCAGGGGCTCTCTGGCTACTGTGTTATCGCCGCACAGCACTCACCGGAACCCTCATCTCCTTGGGTTTCTGTCTCCATCATCAAAAGCTTTTCCTCTTTCTCCAACTGGGATATCAAGTCTGGTTTGAATGGTTGATGTCCTATAAAAAGGCAGGAGACCAAATGATTTTAATTTTGATAAAGTCCAGTTTTCAGTTTTGTTCTTTTCTGAATCACGCTTTTGGTGCCATATCTAAGAACTCTGCCTAACCCAAAGTTATGAAGACTTTCTCCTATATTTTCTTCTAGAATTTTCATAGTTTTACATTTTACACTAGGTCTATTATCCATTTTGAGTTAATTTTTTCTAAGGTGTGAGGCATGGTTCCAGGTTCATCTTTTTGCATATACATGACCAAATGTTCCAGAACCATCTGTTAAAAAGATTATACCTTCTCCATTGAATTGCCTTGACACCTGTAGTACATCTGAAATAGTTTCAGAATTGCTTCTTCCATACCACTCCAATAAACAAACCTATTAAAAATGTCCAGGATAACAACTCATTTTCCCATCCCCCTGCCATCGTACCCCAAACTGAGGGTATACAGTTATGTACTGTATTCCTTAGCTACTTCCTTGAGTTCTTTCTTCCCTTTTTCTCTCAATGTGGTTATGGTATTAATTTCAAATACAATTGACTTCATTTATTTCATCTTCCTTCGAGTTTTAGTTTATCATCCCTGTGCATTCTTATATATTTTTGTAATGTGTTAAACTAACATATTTCTAAAAGTCCAAACCAGACAAAAAGGTATACTTGGAAAAGTGTGACTCTCTCCCACATTCCTTCCATCTTATTACTTCCCTCCTACTATTTGTGCCCATTCCAAAGAAAGGTGATCCAACAGAACACAGAAATTATTGAATATCATTAATATCACACACAAGTAAAATTTTGCTGAAGATCATTCAAAAGCGGTTGCAGCAGTACATCAACAGGGAACTGTCAGACATTCAAGCTGGATTCAGAAGAGGACATGGAATGAGGGATGTCATTGCTGATGTCAGATGGATCTTGGCTGAAAGCAGAGAATACCAGAAAGATGTTTACCTGTGTTTTATTGACTATGCAAAGGCATTCGACTTTGTGGCTCATAACAAATTATGGATAACATTTCAAAGAATGGGAATTCCAGAACACTTAACTGTGCTCATAAGGAACCTGTACATAGACCAAGAGGCAGTCATATGAGCAGAACAAGGGGATACTGCATGGTTTAAAGTCAGAAAAGGTGTGCGTCAGGGTTTTATCCTTTCACCATATCTATTCAGTCTATACGCTGAGCAAATAACCCGAAAAGGTGAACTATATGAAAAACAATGAGGCATCAGGATTGGAGGAAGACTCATTAACAACCTGCGATATGCACATGACATAACTTCGCTTGCTGAAAGTGAAAAGGACTTGAAGCCCTTACTGATGAAGATCCAAGACCACAGCCTTCATTCAGTATGGATTATACCTCAACATGAAGAAAACAAAAGTCCTCACAACTGGACCAATAAGCAACATCATGGTAAATGGAGAAAATATTGAAGTTGTCAAGGATTTCACTTTACTTGGATCCACAATCAATGCCCACGGAAACAGCAGTCAAGAAACTAAACAATGTATTACATTGAGCAAATCTGTTGCAAAAGATTTCTTTAAAGTGTTAAAAAGCAAAGATGCCACTTTAAGGACTGAAGCGCGCCTGATCCAAGCTATGGTGTTTTTAATCGCCTCATATGCATGTGAAAACTGGACAATGAATAAGGAAGACCAAAGAATTGATGCCTTTGAATTATAGTGTTGGTGAAGAACACTGAATATACCATGGACTGCCAGAAGCAGGAATAAATCTGTCTTGGAAGAAGTACAGCCAGAATGTTCCCCAGAAGCAAGGATGGTGAGACTTCATCTCACATACTTTGGACATGTTATCAGGAAGGACCAGTCACTGGAGAAGGATATCATGGTTGGTAGAGGATCAGCGAAAAAGAGGAAGACCTTCAATAAGATGGACTGACACAGTGGCTGCAACAATGGGCTCAAGCATAACAACGATTGTGAGGATGGCACAGGACCTGGCAATGTTTCCTTCCATTGTACACAGGGTCACTATGAGTCAGAAGCGACTCGATGGCACCTAACAACAACACTATAAGAAACATAACTTCATAACTTTCTAATAAATCCTTCCTGTGCTTCTTCTTATAAAGATAAGCAGATATACACATATTCACTTTTTTCCCCATAAGAAACATAACTTCATAATTTTCTAATTAATCCTTCCTGTGCTTCTTCTTATGCAGATAAGCAGATATATACGTATTTACTTTTTTCCCCTTCTTTCTTATACAAATTGTAGTATACTATTAATGCTCTTTAGTATTTTGCTATCTTTAGGGAAAATTCCTAGAAGTGGATTGCTGGGGGAAGGTAACTACATGGATCATTTTGCATTCCTTCTTTCAATGTATGAAAGTGCTTTTCCCCACCACAGCTTTGCCAAAATACCATACTATCAATCTATGGGTGAGAAATCATATCTCAGTATAGTTTTAATTTACATTTCTCTTAATTTGAATTAAAAAAGAACATCTATTTATACAGATAAATATTTATATTTATGTCTGTACAGGAATGTATATATATCAATTATGTATATAATTGTATGTATATGTATATAATTGTATGTATATGTACCTTACTGTAGGCTACAAAGTTAAGTAATAATAGTGTGTATGTGTATGTGTGTGTATATACGTATGTGTGGAGATATATACTTATATACCTACCTAAATACATTCATACATACATACATACAGACAAAGAGAAACAAAGAGACAGAGATGTCCTAGCTCTGTACCCTGAAACAGACACCACAGTGGCAATGACATTGCCTAGCATCCCGACCTTGGTGCTGAATACCATTCTTCAATAAAAGGAATCAGGGCTCCTTAGAAAAATGGACGATTCTAGACCTGGGGCAAAGTAAGTAAAAGATAACTAAAACATCATGTTGTGCCATAAAAAAAGGAAGTGGTCTAAAAAAATGTTGGGGTCAAGTCACAAAGACACAGGAGCTAGCTTAAAGGTTATACTGGCCAAATCTGGGACAACTTTACCACCAAAATGATTAACTACAGTCACAAACTGTAAAGAATTCAGAAATCTCTACAAGTAACAAACAAGTAAATAAATGGCTCAGAAGAGAGGGCTCTTGCTCACCATAGAATGCTAAACACTAACTGCTAAATGTGACAAACTAAAACCAAACCAAACTTGTTGCTGTCAAGTCAACTCCGACTCATAGCGACCCTACAGGACAGAGTAGAACTGCCCTATAGGGTTTCCAAGGAGTGGCTGGTGGATTCCAACTGCCGACCTTTTGGTTAGCAGCCTGAGCTCTTAACCACTGCACCACCAGGGCTCTGCTAAATGTGAAGGAAGTACTAACGTAGAAAATCATCATTTGGTAATTTTCATGGTAAAGACTGGATAAGGCAAGAATCATTACAGGATGCTAAATCTATAGGGAGATTTTTAAGAGGATACTTGCTGGTGCTGAAGTGTTGCCCCATGATTTCAAGGGGGAAAAAAGCAGTAATTTTATAGTCAAGAAACTGGACATCTTAACTGAGTGATCAGAATTAACAGCACCAATGAGGGGCAGCTGGACACTGTGGGCCTCTAGATGTGATGCCAAGGAGCCCTGGTGGAGCAGTGGTTAAGGGCTCAGCTGCTAACCAAAAGGTCCGCAGTTGAAAAGACCTGATGATCTGCTCCCATAAAGATTACCACCTAGGAAACCCAATGGGTGAGTTCTACTCTGTCCTATAAGGTCGCTATGAGTTGGAACCGACCCAACGGCAACGCGTTAGATGTGATGCCCTCAGAAAGACATACCACCACCTATGTAGTGTTCCAGTCAGAATGGGTAATCTGAATCTAACTATGAGGAAACATTAGAAATATTCTATTAAAAAATGGTGGGGGTGGGGTGGGGCTAACTATGTTCTTAAAAAATGTTATTGTCATAAAATACAGAGAAAGACCGTGGAAATGTTCCAGATTAAAGGAGGCTAAAGAGACACAAAAGCGAGACTAGATCCTGTTCTAGAGGGAGAAAATATGCTATAAGGAATATAACTGGCTCTACTGACAAAACTGGAATACAAACAATAGATTAGATATAAGTATTATATCCGTACTACAAGTACATAAGGGAATATTCCTATTCCTATGAAATATACACTGAAGTATTTAGGGGTAAAGGGCCATGTTATATGTAAATTACCCTTCAATAGTTCAGAAGAAATACATTATGAGTATATATACACACACACATTTTTTTCATATATGCACATAAATATATGTGGAAAGAGAAAGAGCATGAGCATATACAATAAAGCAAATGGGGTAATATGTTATTATAGGTGAAACTGGATAAAAGGTACCTATGGGTGTTCTTTGTATTATACTTTTACTTAGGTAATTTTTCTGTGAGTTTGAAATTACAAACACATTCTTAAGAAAACAAACAAACAAAAAATCAAGTTAGTCAACAGTTATTTTCATTCTGGAAAACAAAAAAGGCTGGAGCAACTCACTAACCTGATTTCATGACAAACCAATAGGCAGGACCCCAATTTACCCATTTACAGCTAAAAAGACAGACTTCTGTCTGGTGAAAAACACCTGAAACATCTTGTCTGTGTTGCACAGAGATTACTAGGATGCTCAGATGCCCAAGCTCAGAACACCATTTCATGAGTCCTAGAGCTCTAAAAGGAAACCCTGGTGGCATAGTGGTTAAGAGCTCAACTGCTAACCAAAAGGTCGGCAGTTCAAATCCACCAGGGGCTCCTTGGAAACCGTATGGGGCAGTTCTACTCTGTCCTGTAGGGTTGTTTTGAGTCGGAATCAACTTGACGGCAATGGGTTTGGTTTTGGTTTCTTGGTTTAGAGCTTTAAAAAAAGAGCTCTGGCTGCTAACTGAAAGAACAGTGGTTTGAACCCACAAGCTGCTCTGTGGGAGAAAGATGTGGCAGTCTTCTTCCGTAAAGATTACATCCTTGGAAACCCTATGGGGCAGTTCTACTCTGTCCTATAGGGTCGCTATGAGTTGGAATCGATTTGATGGCAATGGGTTAGCGTTTCAAACAACTGAGCACACAAAGAGACCCCAGGAGACTTATACTAAGTAACAGAGGGTGCCTGTCCTCACCCACTGAGAGTAGGTTCCTGAAGTTCTCCAGCATCACGTCTCGGTACAGTGTCCTCTGGGTGGAGTCCAGCAGCCCCAGCTCCTCCTCAGTGAAGACCACAGCCACGTCCTTGAATGTCACTGCTTCCTACAACATCAAACACACACAACCTCAGTCTTACAACCAGTGTCCACTGGAATAAGAGCAGCACTGGGAAAGTGGAAAGGATGGGAAGCTGCTCTGGGTTCTGAGGATTTAAGTAGCTACTTTCTGTTTGCCTTCCACACAGCCAATGCCATTCTCCAAAAGGGCTGCAAGAAAAGAAATCCTTGCACTTTAAATTGCAACCTTTTGCTAGCACTCCTACAGGTAAGGGTATGGAACGCTGTTGCATCCTGGGTTACTAATATTTTAAATTTTATTAATAATGCCATTTGTCCCAGAGAAGCTTTCTCAGTTTCCTCTCAACAACGTCTGATGGTATCTGTTTTCCCTCTCTCATACACACGTTACTTATTACTTACCAAATTCACAGGCTCTCAGACACCCTAACTGCTCATGTATGTAGTTCATCCTCTGGGCTACATCTATGGATTACAGTGTTCGTGGGTTATGGTACAGGCACAGCTCCGGAGCCTGCCTACCTGTGTTCACATCTGGATGTTCTGCCCCATACTAGCTGTGTGGTCTTGGACAAGCTCCTTAACCTCTCCTCATCTGCATGTCGAGATCTATATCTCTGAGTCCCTGGGTGGTGCAAACAGTTAAGCTCAGCTGCTAACCAAAAGGCTGGACGTTCGAGTCCATCCAGAACTGCCTTGGAAAAAAGGCCCGGCAATTACTTCCAAAAAAATCAGCTGTTGAAAACCTTATGGAACACAGTTCTACTCTGGCACACACGAGGTCACCATGAGTTGGAGTCAACTTGGCAACAACTAGCTATCTGTAGCATAGGGTACCAGCAATAAAATGAATGACTGTATGTAAAACACTCAGGAAAAGTGCCCGTCACATAGTAAGTAGCCAGTACATGTCAGGCGTTATTATAATCATCATCACCGTCACTTTCATCTCATTTCAGTAATCCAAGGAAGTGATATTCTAGAACATAATGAACCAATCCAAATAATGCACACTTATTTAATTTTAGATTCTCTGTTATAAACAATGCTGCAAAATACATTCTTCCACCTAGATCTTAGTTCAACTGTCCCATGAGCTCCTTAAAATAAATTCCAAAAAGTAGGAATGTCAATGTCAAAGAATATTGATCTTTAAAGTTTTGTAATCATTTTTCTAATTTATTGTTCTTCCAGGAAAGTATAAATCCCTAAACCTCTACACCCTGGCCAACACTGGACATGATCACTTTTTAAAAGTCTTCAGGAATCTCAGAAGAAAATTTGAGAAGTTAAAACAAGTTATTTTTCAAATAGTTCACAAAGCTGATCAGTAACATTCTCTTTCCATGCTGCACATGTCTATTTCTTGTTTGGTAAAAACATTTATTTGGGGGTTATTGAGGCTTTTTCTTCCATATATATCGTGAACATTTTTCACTGCACTTTTGACAGCTGTCTTGTAACTTTTTGCTGCAGGGAAATTTAAAATTTGTAAACAAAGACCTGTTCAACACTATATTTGTTCTGGCTGGAGCTCTGAGCATGACATCCTCAGGTCTCTGAATGGAGAACTATAGGTGCTTTTTGTTTGTTTTTTGTCTCTCTTTCTGCCCAAATGATCTGTCTGATATTCCTGACCTAGAAAGCAAAGGCTTTGGAGTTGGCTGGACAGTTGTCTTTCTGTAGGAACTTGAGCAAGGCTGCAACCTATGTGAACCTCTTATCTTCAAGTTAACAATGCAGAGCATTCGAGTCCGCCCTCAGACACCCATTCGGAGCAGTGAATACAGAGACAGACGGAAAGTGCCTGCATATCCTACAACATGATCAAACATTTTAAATTTTTAAGTATACGTATTATTCTAATAAAAAATCAATGCACAAATAATGAAGGACACACAAACATACACAGACACACACACTGAAAGCTTCAGGAAGAAAGACTTTAGCTCTTCTTGTATAAAAACATCTAACACTATTTTTTTCTGAGTTCAGCTTCAGTATGATCCTGTTAGACAAACCATATTTTAGGTATTCTTTTTACAAAGTACTTAAGGCATCACTTATGAAAATATATATGTATTTCAGTTTTTAGTTCATAGAACATTAAGGACAAATATCAGAATTCCTTCATAATTGCTCTTCGGGTAAAGAGTATATGTAGGAAAACAGCTATACAGTGGAAAACTGCAAGAACCCTCAAGAATTTAAAATCCTGCAAACGTGGAATAGTAAAACAAACAAACAAAAAGGTACAATAATTCACTGCAATAATATTAATCCATTGCTGTTGAGTCGATTCCAACTCATATAGGACAGAGCAGAACTGCCCCATGGGGTTTCCAAGGCTGTAAATCTTTACGGAAGCAGATTGCCATATCTTTCTCCCACAGAGCAGCAGGTGGGTTTGAACCACCAACCTTTCGGTTAGCAGCCAAGCACTTTAACCACTGCACCACCAGTGCTCCTTAAAACAAAAAAAAAGGTACAATAATTCACTAAAATAATATTAACTGATAACAGTTAAGTACTATAATATTAAGTGAAAAAAAACACAATTCAAAATTATATTCTTTATAGGTTTTTTATTTTTGTTGTTGAGAATATACACCACGGAACATCAATTCAACAGTTTCTTCATGTACAATTCACTGAATTTGATTACATTCTTTGAGTTGTGCAACCATTCTCACCCTCCTTTTCCAAACTGTTCCTCCCTATTAACATAAACTCACCACCCCCTAAATTTGCTATCTAATCTTTTGAGTTGCTGTTGTCAATCTGATCCCTTGTAGACAATTCTTTAAAAAGCCCAAAAATAGTATCTGTTATTATACATACAGTTATGGATGCGTAGAAAAAAATGATCATGGACAAAACAAGTGATTTCTAAGTGGGATAATAATGTATGGGTCTTTCTCATTTTTTATTTCTATTCTCTTTTACATAAACCCTACCCAACCTGTTGCCATCCAGTCGATTCTGACTCATAGTGACCCTTGAGACAGAGTAGAACTGCCCCATTAGGTTTCACCAGGTTATAAATCTTTACAGAAGCACACTGCCACATCTTTCTCCTGTAGAGCAGGTGGTGGGTTCCAACCTCGGACCTTTCAGTTAGCAGCCGGAGCAGTTAACCACTGCACCACCAGGGCTCATTCTTTTACATTATTACTTGAGGAATAAAAATGATGATAAAACAAATAAAATCTAAAACCCATTGCTGTCAAGTCGATTCCGACTCACAAAGACCCCACAGGACAGAGTAGAACTGCCCCATATGGTTTCCAAAGAGCAGCTGATGGATTCAAACTGCCAACCTTTTGGTTAGCAGCCGAGCTCTTAACCACTGTGCCACCAGGGCTCCAAAAACTAAAAAGCTTATAAAAAAAAAAAAAAAAAGCAGGAGATAGGCACATAAATGGTACTAAATTCTTTACTGCTGGCAAGGAGGAGAGAGAGAGAGAAAAAAAAAGACGTGTCCACTCACTGAGAAATGAGATGGCACGTTGTTACAGAAAGAATAACCCAACTCACCTGTAACTTGGTCATTTTCTCCTCCTTTTTCGACAGAATAGCAGAGACCTGAGAAGGCAGAATAGGGTTAATAAGAAAGAAGCCATGAGAGAAAGGCAAACGTATCTTTGTGCAAATTAGAAACAGGTGCCGCTTCTCCCAGGTAGATGCAGCCACACATGGTTTATGGAGCAGAGTGCGGCTGGATTACCGCTACCACTAGGCTACCCCGGCTGGATGCCCAGTGTCTGGGAACAATCTGCCCAGCTGTGCCCAGCAGCCCCCATGTCCCTTGAGCCTCCCAAGGTACTCATTCTGGTCCTGGGAGACATAGGAAAGGAAAGGTAATGGAATGTACTGGTTAAGAGCACTCAAGACAAAATGCCTGTGTTCAAAACCTGGCACTGCTCAACTTGCTAAGTAAACTTGTGAATTAACCTCTAGATTTCACTTCAGTCATCTGCAAAATTAGGATCATAAGTGCCAACATTATAAGGTTGTCGGGATTGTATGTGCGACGACTGGAAACCTATTATAACTATCCCAGGCCTCTCTGTTTCCTTGCAGCTGCAGAGATGCACATACTATTTTGCATCGTAACACTGTCCTTGCAAATATGTGTTGTAAAAAGTCTGGACTGCAGAGAGTATTGCTCTGCCCGTGGGAAGTCACTGAACTTCTGAAATGTCTGCAACTCTGGCTTCTTACTTAATAAGCTGTTGCCTTGGTAATAAATTTTGTTTAGACATTGAGACCATTCTTCTAAAAAGTCTAATGGCTGCTGAACATTCTTCCTGAAGCCAGACAGGCTCAATAACCTATCCCACTTCCCCCATGCACATGGACATAAGAAAAGACGAACAAAAACTCTGAGCTACTACATATCTCAGGTTAAACCAAAAGCGTGACTCTCTGTGTCAATTTAATGAAGTCACCTGGCGATAACTCACTGGCTGGCTGGGAGATTGTATACTTATCCATGTAAAAGTGTTGCTTAGTGCCTGACCCTTAAGAGGATTTGGAGACGAAGAGTTTACTTTCTTGGCTTCCTCCTCAAGGTTTGTTACCTTATTTACAGTTCTCAAGCAACCTTAAAGTCATCTGTGGAGAAGAAAGAACTCAAATAAGGGCTAAGCTTGGGCTCGGATAAGACAGAGGCTTTTAGCACCATCTTAGAGAGAGGCCTTATGCTACTCTGGTAGGGCCCTTGCCTCCTCCCAAGTCCCTGTCCACATGGGCTGCTGTAATAGACCCCACAGAACGTATGCACAACTATCCCAACAAGTATTGACTTGGCTGCATAATTAGCAGTGAAAGGGCCAACTTTTCTTTCATTTACTCAATATTTATGGTTCGCCTTCTACAAGGGACACAGTTCCCAGATCTCTAGTTGTTCACAGCCTAGTGTGGGAGGTCAGGGAGAAAATCAGCAGTTAGGCTATACATCAATAAATGCTAGAGTTTGCATGGGGTCCTTTAGGGGTACATGGAAGGGGCCCCAAAATGCAGACTGGGTGAGGGAGTGAGTCAGATGGGCCCAATGGAGAAAATGAGGCCCGATCTCAGTCCTTAAAAAGAGGGGAATCATCACAACACCAAACAGCATGAGGGTCAGAGGGTACCCAGGGCAAAAGAAGCAGAAAGTGCTGAGAAAGCAAGAGCCAAATCGTATGCTTTGGAGGTATGACCTCATTCAACCTTCCCAACAACGAGAGAAGTTGGGACAATTTTTAACTCCTTTTGACAGTTGGGAGCCCTGGTGGCGCAATGGTTAAGAGCTCAGGCTGCTAACCAAAAGGCAGGCAGTTCAAATCTACCAGCTGCTCCTTGGAAACCCCATGGGGCAGTTCTACCCTGTCCTATAGGGTCACTGTGAGTCAGAATCCATTCGACAGCAACGGGTTTGGGTTTTTTTGGGTTTTGACAGTTGAGAATATTGAGTCACTGGGATTTTATGTTCCCTGCTATGATTATCCATTCAGCCAGTAAAAAGGCAGAACTGTTAGCCCAGAGTCCATATTCTTAACTACTAGGATAGCAGCTCTCAACCTGCCAGCTCACTGGTATCACTGGGGAGTTTGAGAAAATAATACTAAGGCCCAGGCCCCTGTGCAGAGCTATATACATCAGGCTCTCTGGAGGAAAGGGTTTTATTACCACCTTCCAGGTGGTTACAGTTTTCAGAAAGGGATGAAAACCACAGACTATTAGATGAACAGAGGTAGTTTGCAATCCCTGCAATTAACCACTTGGCCATTCTGTCTCTCAAGGAGTAGACAGAATCGCCAGGACACACAACCAGGAGCAACGCTGGGCCTGGACCCAGGCCTCCTGATTCCCAGCTCTGCACTCCTCTCCATTGTGATGCTCCAGGAGCTGTCTCTAAGAGGGAAGAGCAGGGAAAAAAAAATTGTGGATGCCTCTGCAGGCACATACTCAGTGTGAAGGCAGGCTTTGAGTTTAGACCAGCCTGATCAGCAACAGGGGTCACTCTGATCATCCAAGGGACTCTGAGAATATAGAAGACTAGGCAATTCATGTTAAATATGCATTTAAACAGGGGTCATCCTCTAGAATATTCATGTTTCTTCATGTGTTCGATAGGTTTCAAAAAAATTAAACCTGGAAGTGGACCACCTTAAAACATCTGTAAACGCCCAATATGAACAAATTTTATCTTCTTGTGCAATGTATACACTCTCCTCTGTCACATAAAGTTAACACTTACCGAGAAGTTAGTATGTGCCAGGCACTACTCCAAAGACTTTACGTATATTTGCTCTTTCAATCCTCAATACAATTTTATGAAGTATGAACTAATATTATCAGAATTTTTCAGATCAGGAAATTGAGGCACAGAGAGGTCATGTAACCTGCCCAAAGTTCCCCAGCTAGGAAATGCTAGAGCCAGGTATCAAACGAGGCAGTCCAGAACCAGAGCATGAGTCACGAACAGACTCTAGTATCATCCATGTGAACAGATTAGTTATTACCAAACAACTGCCCAAATATGTCCAAGATGAAACTCTGATATGCTCCTTTCATGGTTAAAACAAGTGCAGGTGGTGCAATGCCTTTAGGATAGTCTGAATTCTGAGCAAGCCACACACAGAGGAACCATCCATGTCTGCTTGCTCATTTCCTCTCCAGGCCCTCTCTCCCCATACTCTCCAGCCGTGCAAATCACCTGAATCTCACACGAAAGCCTCCAGGCCTTTGCATGTGCTGTTCCTTCTGTCTTTCCCGCTAAGACATCTAGGTTAGGGATTGGCAAACTTTTACTCTAAGGGCCAGACAGTAAATAGTTTAGGCTTTGCGGACCACATATAGTCTCTGTCAGATATTGTTGTCTCTTTTTACAATCCTTTAAATGTAAAAATTATTCCTAGCTGTGGAGGAAGGGGGGACATATAAAGCAGGCCACAGAGCAGTAGTCTGCCCACCTCTGGCCTAGATCCTCATAGCTTTCAACATTCAGCTTATTTGTCCTCTGCTCCAAGGTGCATTTTAATGGGTTTTTCCTCTGTCTTATGAACTCCTAAAATCCACTTTGCCAACCTGATGAAGACAGAAGGTTGTGGTCAAGAGCTGAGACTATGGAATTAGGTTGCCAAGCTTTAATCCTGGTTCTGCCACTTACTGGGCTCTTATCTTACTGGCAGGGTGAACATCTGTGAGTCCATTAACCTCTTGATGCCTCTATTTTTTCATCTGTAAAGTGGAGATAAAAGTAGGGCCATTATGAGGAATACATAACCTAATGCATAAAATCCCATTGCCGTTGACTCTGACTCATAGCGACCCTATAGGACAGAGTAGAACTGCTCCATGGGGTTTCCAAGGAGCGGCTGGTGGATTCCAACTGCCGACCTTTTGATTAGCAGCCAAGCTCTTAACCAATGGAGCTCCGGAGGCACAGTGGTTAAGAGCTCGGCCGCTAACCAAAAGGTCGGCCGTTCAAATCCACCAGCCACTTCTTGGAAACCCTATGGCGCAGTTCTACTCTGTCCTATAGGGTCACTTTGAGTCGAAATCAACTCAACAGCAATGGGTTTGTTTTGATGTAATGTATAAAAAGCATAGAAAGTCTGCATGGTTCATAAATACACCCAATAAATGTTAGCTATTGTTAGTATCATCCTCATTATTGTCACCATGAAATAAATACAGAAGCCATGTATTAGCTGTGGTTTGTTTCAAAGTAAGTTTATTTTAGATCAACAATTACCCCATAGATGTACATCCTCCTTTGAACATCTGGAAAAGCTGGTAGCTTTACCATCTCACTAAAACAGACTGAGATATTGACATTGAGATAAAAGACAGGGAGAACTTTAATTGTCTATTTCTCCTTCGTCCATTTTCATAAAATGTGATTATAATCTCACTAAGCTCACTCCTGTTGACTGTTGGAAACCTACACAAACCATAAAGAGGTACTCAATAATTTCTGCCAATCGCTATGCTTGGCAATGAGCGCATTGAGAACCTGACATAGACCCTGTGACACAGAAACCTGCGGCTGACTAGAAGAGACAAATCAGAAACAAAGAACAAGCAGCAGAAGCATCAGTGACCTCAAAGACAGGTCAACAAAATTTATCAAAACTGAAGCACATGAAAACAATGTGTATTCTTTTATTTTTCAATTGAATGTTCTAGAAATGTCAATGAGGTCAAGTTGGTTAATAGTATCGTTCAGGTCTTTTGCATCCTTATTGATTTTCAGTCTACTTGTTCTATTGATCACTGAGAAAAGGGTTGAAATCCCCACATATAATTGTGGACTTCTCTATTTCTTTTTTCAGTTCTATCAGTTTTTCTTCATGTATTCTGAAGCTCTGCTGTTTTATGAACACATATAGGATTTTTATGAACTGACCCTTGGTGTACTATCCCTCTTTAACCCCGGTAATAGTCCTTGGTATAAAGCCTACTTTGTCTGATATTAATATAGACTGCTGTTTGCTTGGTATATTTTTTTCTATTCTTTTACTTTTAACCTTTTTCTGGAGTCCCTGGCTGGTGAAAACAGTTGATGTGCTCAGATTCTAACCAAAAGGTTGATGGGTCAAGTCTACTCAGAGGCACCTTGAAAGAAAGGTCTGGCAATCTACTTCCAAAAAATCAGCCATTGAAAACCCTCTGAAGCACAGTTCTGCTCTGACACACATGGAGTCACCATGAGT